GGAGGGAGGGGGCGTGCAGGAGGGAGGGAGGAGAGCCAGCAGGAGGGAGGGAGGAGAGCCAGCAGGAGGGAGGGAGGAGGGCCAGCAGGGCGCTGGGCTGGCCTGCACCTGTGAACACTAAGCCCTCTCTGGGCGCCAGGCTCCTTCTGGAAGGAGCATCTCATTTACTCCCGAGGACAACCCTACAGGTGGCCACTGTTGTCAGACCCATTTTCCAGGTGGGCACAAAGGCACAGAAGGGGCTGGCCCGACCTGCTGTGAGTGGGGAGCAGGACCCGAGTGTAAGGAGACAGACTCGGGCCCGGCCGTAACTCTGGGGCCACGTGGCCACTCCCGAGCCTGGGTTCTCTCGGCTCCCATGCCCGCAGCCCCTGTCGGGCACTGCCTGGCCTGGGCATCAGGTGGGATGGCCACAGCCCCCAGTGTGAGGGAGCCCCTGCCGTGAGGGACCCCCACCATGAGGGACCCCCCGCCGTGAGGGAGCCCCTGCCTGGGTTTCTGCAGCTCTGCCTGGGAGGCATGGGGACGGGCACCTGAGCTGGTGTCCTCCACGCCCCATGTATGACTTTACCCTGACCAACCTCGGGGTGGGGGGGGATGGAGAGCAAGTGCCACACGTCCGTTTTACAGACAAAGAAACTGAGGCTCAGAGGCCGCAGTGGGGCAGTGGAAGAGCCCGGGCTCCTGTGCCCCCAGCCTTGGCTCCAGGCGAAGCCTCCTGAGGGCCCCCCAGGACACTGCTCCCCACCTCCTCCACCCCCTCCTCTTGGAGGTGCAGCCCAACGGGGCAGTGTGACCAGCAGCTCCACTTACAGGTGCCACTGTGGCCAGAGGGGCTGGAGAACTGCCAGGATCCGACAGTGCGGGTGTCAGCCCAGGAGGCCTGGCTGGAGTCCAAGACTGACCGCTCAGCTGTGTGGGTGCACTCTGGATCCCCACATCCTAGCGTCTTCCCCGGGGAGGATGCTCCCACACTTCTCTGACCGTCTGACCGGCCGTCTGTCCAATACATCTTCACAGAATACCCTCTCTGCCAGGCACTGGGGGGACCCCGAGACCCCGGCCCACTGCTGGGGAGCTGGCAGTCTCGTGGGAAGACAAGAGATAAACAAGCAGTTTGTCACACGAGTAAAGAGACACTCAGTCCGATGACGTCACACGGGATGACAAGCCCTCTAATGATGATGCGGCTCACAGGAGGGGCCTCTCCACGCACTGCCGGCCGAGCACTCCCAGCACCCTTCTCGGCAAGCTACTCAACTGCAGGGGTGAGGGGGTTCGTCTGTGTTGCTCAGTTCTGTGACAGCGTCTGGCGCACAGCAGGCACGCAGTGAGCCACTGCCGAACTAATTAACCTCTTATCATCCCCATTTTACAGAGAAGACAACTGAGGCACGGAGAGGTCAGGCCAGGTGCCCAAGGGCACACAGGCGTGAGTAGCAGAGCCAGGGTTAGGAGCTGGGCCGTCCGGCTTCAGGTCTGTGTAACTGCTTGCTGAGGGAGGCTGGGAACAGAGAGATGGGGTGGTGGAGGCGGATGCCCTGGGGGGATGAATTTTAGGCTGAGGTCTGAAGGATGAGAAAGAGCCGGTGGGTGAGGATCTGTGGAAGTGTGCCTGGCAGTGGGGACAAGTGAAAATGGTCTGGGGCAGGAGCTGGCCTGGGCAGTTCCAGGACCAGTCAGAAGCTGGTGGGGTTGCAGGGCTGGAGAGGGTGGAGAAGTAGGCGGGCCAGTGCGTGGGACCAGGAAGGAGCTGGGACTAGATCCTAATCCTGACCCTGTACCCGCCAGCACCCGCCCCTCCCTCCAGGGAGCAGACCAAGCCCCCTCAACAGACTGTGCCACGGTGGCCCCACACCCCTGGAGCCCGGCACACAGCAGGCATCAGCTAAGGGGACGGTTGCATCACCCTCACGTCCACACACAGACCTACATCCAGAACCCAGGGTAGTGTCGCACCAGACCTCAGATCCACAGCTAACAGAGAGGCAAACGACTCTGGGAAGCACCTCGCGAAGGCACCGCAGCAGAGAGCACCCACCAAACCCCCAGATCCACCCCAATTCTCCCCTCTGGCCCCACCTGGCCTAGAACAGACAGACGGACAGACAGCAGCACTTTCTGCCAGACACCGTTGTACATGATGTAGCAGCATTCCCCAATCATCACTTACAATGTCCCTCTTTTACAGATGGGGAGACTGAGGCACAGGGCTGGCCAGTTACAGTGCCTGCCCTGTGTTTAGGGGCCACGCTGAAGCGAAACGGCATGTCCTAGACTGTCATACTGTGTGATGCGGGCAGGGCTATGGGGCTGGGGGCCCGGGAACGCCTTCCCTCCTCTGGCCTCACTCAGGTTGGACGCCCACACCCCAACACAGCTCAGGCTCCCTTGTCTTTGGCCCAGGGTATCGGCTGACAGCTCCAGGGGGCCCTGGCCACTCGCACAAAGGAACATCCCTGCACCAGCCAGGTTCATGCCATGCTGGATGCCAACAGGCACAGAGGCCACGGCTGGGGCCAGGCATGCAGGCGATCGTCACCCTGCCACCTCTCCCTGGATGCCCCGGGGAGGGGGCTTACACGAGGACCTGGCTCCCACTCCATCCCCCAGGCCATCTGGGCCCCCTGGGCTGCTCTGGCTGAAGAGTCTGAGACCCTCCCTCTGCTTGTCCCCCGAACAAAGAAAGGCCGGCATCCTGACACCCAAAACTGAAACAAACATCACCCCTCACCCCCTCACAGGGAGGTGAGGACCAGGAGGTACGCCCACCTGTGGGGCTGGGCAGGGAGAAGGCATAGACTGTGCACGAGTGGAAATCAGAGCAGAAACTTGGGGACACCTGCAAACCCAACAACACCTACTGTTCACGTGGTCGCCTGGGATGGCCCCTAGACATCCTGCCCACACGCCAGCAGGCTCCGGCAACGTGGCCACCACAGAATACTAGAAACGGCCCATCTGTGCCTGTGCCAGGCGATGTGACAATAATGGAAGGAATGGGGAGCAGTGGGCAGAAGGAATAGGCAACGATGCTCAGGCATGGGGTGTCCTCCAGGGAGATGCTGAGTGCGTGGTGTGCTGCAGAAAATGAGGGACCAGGACACGTGGCCTCGCATGAGCCAACAGTCCAGGAACTGCAGAAAACTCCTAAGAGTGGGGTCCGTGGGTGGAAGGAGTGCGAAGGACTCCCACTGAAGACCCTACCATCTGGCTAGGTTAGTTTGCTGTGTGTTTCACTAAAGAAATTAGCCAGCTCAGGCCTGAGGATTGCAGCCACAGCCCAGGCAGACAGAACGCTGGCTGGCTCTTTTGTCCCCACGGTCCACCCCAGGCCAGCCGGCGTCATTCCGGCGCTTTGTTAGGATGCTAATCTTCGCCAGGCCTGGGGTGTGGGTCCGTCCACAGCACGCCGGCACAATTCTGTCTGGAGAGCTGGGTCAGCTTACAAAAGGCCCTTGTCTCCGCCGCAGCCCCAGGTCTAGTATTCACAGGGTCCGGCGGGGGCGGCCTTGAGTCCGGCCCTGATCCAGCCCCTCGCCAGCCCCTTCCCGCCCCCACCGGCACTCTAAGCGCAGTTCCCCCGACGGCCACCAGAGGCCCCCCTCCGCCCACAGACCAGAAGAGGCCCGCTCTCCCGGCTGACGCTCCCCCTCCCACAGGCTCGGTCACCCAGCCGGCAGCACCTGCGCCTCTAACCACCTGGAGGACCCGTGCCCAGTGGTCCCCAGATACCAGCCGCGGCAGATGCCCCCAGGGGCCCAGGGTCCACCAGCCAGGGGGCAGGGAGAGGGGGTCTGGCGGAGAATGCGTCGGCCGCGTCCCCCTCTGGGTGGTGGTGTTGGGGGTGGGGGGGCAGGAAACTTCAGAGCAGCCCTGGGCTTGACTGCAGGCTTGGTGGGTGAGGGCTCCACGCGCCCCCACCCCGGGCCGTGTCTCGGCTCCGTTAGCCCCAATCGGGCCCTAAGGCGGGGGCTTGGCTCTCCTGTCCCCTGAGCTTGAGAAGCCACCCTCAAGGCGTGCACCATAGGGGTGCAGCGACGCTCCCACTCCAAACCGGCAAGAGGGCAGGGGTGCGAGGGCAGGGGCGTGAGGGCAGGGGAGCGTGACAGGGGAGGCCGCCATGGGCGCAGGCACAGCTGCCGGGGGCCGGCAGGGGCGCCCCCCGGGCTGAGGGGCTGCGCCGACGCGGTTCCCGGAAGCTGCCTCCCCCGGACCTGTGGCTACGTCCCCGAGGGCCCCTCAACTCCTCCTCCCTCCCGGAGTCCTGGAGCCTCAATGTCCGAGCGCAGGTGGGTGCGGGGTGCAGGCGGCGCCTGGGCGGGTGTCCCTAGTTTGGGGGGACTGCAGGGCAGGAACTCCCAGGGATCTGCCTTGTCCATGAGCCCCTCACCTTGCGCGGCCAAGCCAGCTTAGGGTGCCAACAACCACAAAGGCGGGCCACAGGAGCGGACCCCAGCCCCAGGGGCTGCTCAAAAGAGGCCACTGCCCCCCCTCCCCGACAGCGGGGTTTCCATGCCGGCGGGATAGCTGGGCACTGGGTGTTGGGGGGCACTGGGGAGAGCGCGGGGTGCATCCGAGCCTGTAAGGGGGTCCGCACTCGGCTCAGGACAGAGTTTGGGGAAGAAAGACAAGGGTGGCCGCCCTGGAGGGGATAGGGGGCAGGGCCAACATCGTGCCCAGTGGGGGCGGGGAGGCCGGCGCCCACACCGCGCAGCCCTGGCTCGGGGTGCACCTTGCCACTCACCCTGGGAACCTCTCCGCGTGCCGCCGTGCCTCCCCACTGCTGGGGTCCCCTTCCTCATAAACCCACTGGTGGGATTTTCGACCGGGCGCCCCCATCCCACCGACTCCTGCGCTGTGAGCGCTCGGAGCGCACGCGTCCGGGGTGACCCCGCACCCCCTCCCCCGACCCGGGGGTCCGCCAACAGCCGGGGGCTCCTCCGTGCCCGGCCTCAGCGGTCCTGTTCGGGAAGAGGGTACAGGCGCGCGGGGTCCCCGAGTCCTGCCAGACTCCGAGTCCTGCCGGAGACTTCGAGTCCTGTCAAGGGGACTCCCAGTCCTGACGGGGACCTCGAGTCCTGTCAGCGCCCCCCTTCCCTCCGGCGCACTCACCACTCCCAGGCTGAGGTCCTCCGCGCGGGGCGCGGGCGCAGCGTAACCCCCGCGAGCTGCCAGCGCGAGCAGCAGCAGCAGCAGCGGCGGCAGCAGGAGCGGCGGGGCGCCGGGCACGGGGGGCAGCGGGGCGCGGGGTGCGTGGGGCGGCGGGCCGGGCCCCATTGCTCCGCTCCCGGTTCCGCGCTCCGCTCCGGAGGCAGCTGCCGCCGCACTGAGTCTAGCGCGCGCCGCGCTAGCCTCCAGGCGGCGGGGCGGGGCCAGGCGTATGCTAATATACGCTAATATATGCTAACGCCAGCGGCCGACACCGCCTCCCGCCTTAAAGGGCTGGCGCTTGCGGTCCGGAGCAGAGACCCGAGCCGGGCGCGCGGTGGGCGGGGGCCGGGGGCCGGGCAGAACCGCAGGGAGCGGACCGGCTCGGCCCCGCGTGCGCACGGGCGGGCTCGGCGCGGGGCCTGGATCCTGGTCTCCGCTGGGAGACCCCGGGACTGGAAGCCTGCAGCGCGCCCGGCAGGCTCGTGGTGGAGCTCGAGCTCCGCGCAGGACACGGCAGGGGCGGAGGAGCGAGCGAGTGGAGCGGGGGAGGGCTGGCGGACTGCGGACCCCTGCAGGCTTGGGGAGGGGCGAATATTAATAGCTTCGTAATTGAGTGCTTCCTGTGGCGGGCGCTTCACGTCTCCTCTAGCTGAATTCTCATATTTTAGGATGGAAACTATCGTTCCCATTTTGGAAATGGGAAACTGAGGCCCGGAGGTCACAAGTGGCAGAGCCAGGACCCTATAGCCAGCAGGGCGGTGGTCGAGGTAACAGTGTAGCCTGAATAAACTGCAAGCCCTACGGGTCAGGCTGCCCCGAAAGGTTCTCGGGGTGTGTGGGGGGGAGGGTGCCAATGCAATCCCCCCACCCATCCCCCATGACATGTTCGGTTTTTCCCCTGCGGGGCTCTCCAGGCCACTTCGCTGAAGTCACAGCTGTTTCTATGAGGACTGAGGTCTCTTTTTCGGACAGGGAAATTGAGGCCCAGGCACTTCCACTGGTTCACAGTGAGGCTGGGCTGAGGAAGGCGCAGGCCTGGCAGAGCCCCTCCTCAGCGTCCACTCCCCAGCTGTGACTCTGGCCCATCCAGTTACTCCCTGAGCCTCAGTGGACGCTTCTGGAACACGGAGATGCTGCACCTGCTCCCCGAGACACCCTGTCGACCCAGTGCCATCACCTGCACGAGGCACATCCTGATTCCTGGTCAGGTGCGGCAGGACAACTTGCTTACAAGTGGCAAACCCAACTCAAACTGGCTCTAATCCAGGAGATTTACTGGGTCATTGAACTGGGACCTCCTGGCCTTCAGGAAAGGCTCCATCAAATTGCACAACAATAAACTCAGAGGACGGCTTCTCTCTCTGAATCTCTGCTGGCTTCATCCTCTCCTTCCCACTGTCAGCCCTGCCTCCGGGAACACTTGTCTAAACCTATGCCAGTCAGCCAATTTGCACCCCACCCTGGCCACATGATTGGTCCAGGGATGGGCACATGACCCCATCATCCAATGGGACTTTGGCTTGAACTAGAGTCTTTCTCTGGGCTGGGCTTGCAGAACTGGAAGGATGTGGATTGTAGCTGTCCTGGGCCATGTGTGTGTTTCTGTGTGGACGTGTGTATGCTTGTGCGTTACTGTGTGCATGTGTATGCAGAAGCACAGAAAAAGAACTGACCTGGGTGATGATCCTGTTGCACGCAGCCCTGAGTCTACACCTGCTGTGCTTTGTCCCTGAACCCTGTGCCTGTGCTGGGGTGGGGGTGGGGATTGATTGTCCGGATCCTGGGAGGATACTGCACCCTCTGCAGCTCACTCTCCAGGGCACTGGCTGTGATCTGCACCCTCTGCAGCTCACCCTCCAGGGCACTGGCTGTGATCTGCACCCTCTGGGGCCTCCTGTCCTTCCTGGCCCCGATCGTTGGCCATACCTGGAACACGGCCTAATAAATCACTTCAGTGGGGTGCTCTGCTCAGGGTCTGTTCAGGGGAGTCAGAGATGCCCTCAGCCCTCTCTGCAAGATTCCAGTTTCTTACCAGGAGGAAGTGTTCCTCCTAATCTATTAAACTAGCTGCTGTTGAGGTGATCCCAACTCTTGGTGACCCCATGTGTGTCAGAGTAGAACTCTGCCCCACAGGGTTTTCAGTGGTTGATTTTTTGGAAGTAGATTGCCAGGCCTTTCTTTTGAGGCGCCTCTGGGTGGACTCAGACCTCCAACCTTTCGGTGAGCAGCCGAGTGCGTTCACTGTTTGCACGACCCAGGGAATAAAAGCCAGGGTTCTGTATTGCATCAAATCCAAGACGCACACTGTTTTCTATATTGCTTAGAAGGAAGAAACGCTGCCAAGGAAACGGACATGCCGCTCTGTCATCTACAGATTTCATCTCCGGCAGGTTGAAAGAGCTTTCTTGGACTTAATGAGACCGAGTTTATCATGAATCACTCTTGAGCGTGCAATGAAAGGATGACATAAGGAGAACAGATGGGTGACTATGCCTGGACACCTCAGCCGTCTGAAGCTCCTGAACTCTGGACAGGTCAAGATCTGGGTCTTTCTCCACATTATCATCTTCTGGGCTATCAAGAGTACTGAGGAAATGAAGCTGTTTCCTAAAATAGTTCATAAAGAATTCTAGCTGCTGGGCCAGGCTCTCGGCCTGCCTTTGCCCCACCAGGGATGCAGCCGAGCAGGTCTAACCCTCTCACTCTGCGCCACGCAGCTCTTCCAGACGTTCAGGCTGCTTCGTGGGCTCTGGAATTGTCTTCCACAGCCCTACAGTGGGCTGAATGGTGGCCCTTAAAACATACCTGGAACCTGTGGATGGAATCTTTTTGGAAAAAGGGTCTTTGCAGATGTAGTTAACTTAAGGATCTCGAGATGAGGTCATCCTGGATGAATGAAGCCCTAAATCCAATGACACACAGGAGATTTAACAGAAGAGAAGGAGGCAGAGATGGAGTCATGCGGCCACAAGCCAAGGGACACCTGGGCCACCAGAAGCTGGAAGAGACAAGGACGGATCCTCCCCTAGAGCCTTCGGAGAGAGCACGGCCCTGCTGCCACCCTGAATTTGGACCTCTGGCCTCCAGAACCGAGAGATAGTGCAGCCCACACTTGAGGAGTGGGGAGTTATGCTCCACCTCCTCAAGGGGGGAGTGTCTACATCTATCACTTGTGATTCTTCTGCATGGGAGATGTCTCTTCTCCCTCATTCATTTATTCAATCATGTAGTTATATCGATGTGCACTGGTGGACATTTATTGTGTATTTTGGGTCATAATCCAATCTTTGTTGCTCAGATTGTTTCAACTTTGGCTGCTGGGCCCCTTAGACATACCCCCATCACTGGTTTTTTTTGTTTTTGTTTTTGTTTTTTTTTTTTTTTTTTGAGCACTTCCTTCCTTTCTAGAACGACAAAATGCTTCAAGTTCAACTTGCGTATTCCCGGTCCAAGTCTTAGATTCAGCCATTTCTTCAAGGAGCCCTGGTTCTCTTTACTGGACAATGGTGTTAGAAACCAAGATTTGGGTGTTAGGTGTGCTCATTGCTACTGGAGTGTTGTTGTTTCTAGACCATCTAAACTGACATACACACGCCTATAAATATAACTGCCTGGGTCTATATTGAGATCAACATGATTTCTCCAACCCCAGTCCATCACATGGACCAGTCCAGCCATCTCCCTGGATGTCACTCTGCCTCCCCCCACCTTCTTCACCTCCTCTTCTCATCAATGCCCAAGCCCTCGGGGGAACAGCTTCCTAATTTCTCAGGAATCTAACCACTGCCGTGTCCTGTCTGCCACTTTCTCTTCCTGCCCAGTGTTGCTGATGGAGGTGACTGCAATGTCACCTCATCTGCTCCCAGTCCTCCCCCCTTCCACTTCCCAACCACACCCAGGGAACTTATACAGCACACAGCTGGTGCTCCCTACTCTCTCTCACTCTGCTTTTCTGTTACTCCCAGCAGTCTGAACTTGGCATACAGCAAGTTCTCAGTTAAGTGAACAAAGGCTGGGGGAGAGTCCCACCCCTCAGATGTCCCTTCACTCAGTGCTGGGCCCCTCCTGTGGGCCTGGCACCATCCCAGGCACTGGGGACAAGCAGTGAAGGAAGCAAAGTTGCTGTGTTTGTAGAGATGATACCACTCCTGCATTCATGGTGATCCAAAGAGACTCGCTGTTGGACGTTTGCTCCCGCTTTTGCCCAATTTTTTGAAAGTCTTGGAGGACCGGTGTACTTAAAAAGTAATTTGGGCTATTTCTAACACGGTAAGGGAAGCTGTCGGCCTACTTCATCTGCAGTCTAGCAACCTGGCACACGGTCGTCAGAGGAGACAGCTCAACTTAGTTCTGCACAGCTTGGAAGTCGTAACGCACAAGAAGTCACAAGTGTTTTCTCAAATCCTCCATGGCAAGGTTCTGACTTTCATGCTTCCCTGATCTGTCCCAGCTGAACAGCTGATGAAGTTTAATCAAAGCAACTTTTCACCCATCTGAAGTGAGCTGTGGGCTCCCCCCGCGTTGTTTCTACCGGAGAGATAGGGCCGCCTGTACTTCCCAGATAATCCCTTAGCGCAGCTGGAGAAACACAAGTGAGACTCTGTGGGTTTACGAACTTTGGGGATTCTGACGCCTTAGTGAGACGGACGGGTTCACGCTGGACGTGAAGCTTCAACAAACCTGTAGGGGTCCTCAGCCTGGGGGGCAGCTGCAGAGAACGCCACATCCACGCTCGTTCGGGTTCCCACCCAGGTTTGCAAGATGTGGCCCACACGGCAGGTAACTGACTCATGGGGCCAAGGGGTGGGGGGATCGAATGCCTGGCAGTTCCAAGGCCCAGTGTCCCCACACCGTCTTCTAGTAACAGCACCCTAATATGCTCTTAGGAGTTGACCAGTCCTCACTGGGGACATCAGGGGGCTGGGCTGCCCTTAGCCCAGGGGTGAGTGACCCAGCTGTGCTGACTGAAAGCCCAGTCCCTGGAATCTGAATTCAACAGAGGTGAAAAAGTCTGAGAAGGGCTGGAGGTCATTTGTTCTGAGGCGTTG